CTTTTTTTTTTTTTTTTTTTTTTTTTTTTTTTTTTTTTTACTTCCAGGGAAGGGAGTTATAAACATGGAAAGGGAGAAAACTACAATCTACCTATGCAACTGGATTGGAGTAAATCTATCATGCTGAACTCAGAGGTTTCTATGGATGGATGGATGGATGGACAGAAGGATGGATGGACAAATGAGAAAATACATAGACATACACATACATGTAAGCATGCATATATTCTCTAGCTCTGTTCACTAAGAGGGGCTTACAAGCAGTGACACCCAAAGAGTAGTCAACAGGCCAAGATGATGGAGGACTCTAGCAGAAGCAGAAAATCAACAGCCAAGTAGGCAATAGGCCCATCTTACTCTCTGATGTTTAGACAAAGCAAGACTGCTGTGCTCAATTACAGGAGGTACACTTAAAGAACAGATTCCCAGGACAGCCCAGAGGGTCCTATGATTAACAGCGAAAGGAGATGAGATTTAATGTACTGAAAAGAATTCAGGGAAATATAAAAATACTCTTCAAATTTCCAAATGGTTGTCATGAGAAAGAGAGATCAGGTTCATTATCTCCGTGGTTCCAGAAATAGAACAAGGACCAATGCATAGAAATTTCCCAGATAGTGTCTAGGGACAAGAAAAACTGCTCCAACAATTAGACTTACTCCACAAAGGAGGAGGAGGTGAATCACGTGATAGGTCTTCCCTCAGAGGCTTCTAATGACTCATCAGGGCTGTTGCAATGCAGTTTCCAGCCGTGGGTAAAGATTTGTACTAAATTGACTCTGAAGACTTTGTAACTCAAAGTGAGGTCCATGGACCAGTAGCACTGACATGACCCGGAAGCTCCAAAAAAAAATGCATATTGTTGCTTCCACCCCTAAACCTAATGAATTAGAACCAGTATCTTCGCAGGATCTGTTTGATTCACGTGCACGTTGAAGAGTGAGAAGCAGATGTTGAAGATGTTTTGTCACTCTCCAGCTTCTCCATCCACTTAGGTTTTCAGTCTCCTTTGGTACTCCTCTTTCACCCTGTATGACCTACTAAATGTCCATTTAATAATTAGTTATTAAAGGCAGAAGACCTGAGGGTGATTTGGGATAGAGTGGATATAATGAGCTTCCCAATTAGTGTAATCTGATAAATGATTATACAGTTGACCCTTGAATAATGGCAGGGGTCAAGAGCAACAACTCTCCGTGTCAAAAAGCCATGTATAACTTCTGACTCCCCCCAGATGTGTCTAATAGCCTGTTGACTGGAAGCCTTACAGATAACCTAAATAGTCAATTACCACATATTTCATGTATGTATTATATACTGTATTCTTAAAGTAAGCTAGAGAAAATATTAAGAAAATCTTAAGAGCAAATACATTTACAGTACTGTACTGTAAAGAAATCTGCATGTAAGTGGACCAGTGCAGTTCAAAGCTGTGTTGTTCCAAGACCAATTATATTCCTTATTGGTGGGAATTTGGGGGTGGGAGGTAGTCCACTGAAGGTCACTGACATAGAGATGGGTGTGAATGCAGTCATGTATACTCTCCTTGGACCCAATGAATGAGAGCATACCAAAAGCTCTCACCTTCCTCTAGGTTTCTCATTCATTAGGTCTACACTTGAAGCAGAAATGTGAGCCTGCTATCCACTCTCCAGGACTGTGTACAGAAGGGAAAATAACATCCTGCCTTCCAAGTAGCATACGTGCATGCCTTAGTTTTATCTTCCAGGATCGTCTTATTCTTGTAGAGACAGAAACCTCAAACTTTCAACAGCCAATAGTTCACACAACTTCAGACAAAGAGTGGACACATAGTCAGACCTCGTGCGTAAGACAAGAACCAGGGCATTTAATGACGACTAGATGTTAAATGGTAGGAAGACAGGCCTCACTTCTCAGGCAGCTTCATCATCTTCCAGTCCCCAGCTCCTAACACTTTAGGCTGTATAACAACCAACTGTTCCCAGGGCTCCTCCCCAATGGCACACTTTCCTTGGGCCTTCCTGTCACCTCAATCTAGAATATCCTCAAGCTGTGTCCTTGCCTGGGTAACCTCTGCTCATCCTTTAAGACTCAGCTCAGGATGCATCTGGTCTTCCAGGAAGCACTCCTTTACCCCCTGACATGCTGCCCTTCTGAGTTGGTTCCCACAGCACCCTCTATCACCGTAGACCATTGCCATCTAACAGAAGCGCAACAGGGGCTGCATAAATTTAAGTTTTCTAGTACTACAGTTTTTAAATTAAAAAAAAATTTTTTTGAGAGAGAGCGTGTGCACGTGAGTAGGGGAGGGGCAAAGAGAGGGTGACAGAGAATCATAGTCCTGACACAGGGCTCAAACTCATGAACCACGAGATGACGACCTGAGCAGAAATTGAGAGTTGGCTGCTTAACTGAATGAGCCACCCAGGAGCCAATAATAATAATAATAATAATATAATAATAAGAAGAAGTTTAACTGTCACTATTTGTAGATGATATGATGCTTTACATAGAAAACCCTAGAGACACCACTAAAAAAACTTACAAGAATTCTGCGGACTGTCAGCACAGAGCCTGCTTGAGATTCTCTCTGTTCCCATCTCTCCCTGCCTCTCCTCTGCTTGCACACAGGCTCACTTTCGCGCTCACTCTCAAACAAACATTTAGAAAAAAGGAATTCCGTAAAGTTGCAGGAGGCAAAATAATGCCTGGAAATCAACTGCATTTGTTTTCTTTTTTTTTAATTTATGTTTAATGTTTACTTATTTTTGAGGGAGAGAGAGAGAGACAGAGACAGACAAAGAGAGGGAGACACAGAATCCAAAGTAGGCTCCAGGCTCTGAGCTGTCAGCACAGAGCCCAACACAGGGCTTGAACCCACAAACCACAAGGTCATGACCTGAGCTGAAGTCATTCGCCTAACCAACTGAGCCACCCAGGTGCCTCAGTTGCATCTCTATACAGGAAATAACAGAGAGCAAAATTAAGAAAACAATTCCATTTACAATCGCACCACAAAGAATAGAACACCTAGGAATAAACTTAACCAAGGAGGTGAAAGACCTGTACTCTGAAAATTATAAAGGTTGATAAAAGAAACTGAAGATGACACAAGTAAGTGGAAATGACACAAATACGCTCCTGGATTGGGAGAACCAATATTATTAAAATATCCATAATGCCCAAAGTAATCTACAGGTTCAGTGTAATCCCTATCAAAATACCAACCTCATTTTTCACAGAAAAGATAATACTAAGATTTGTCTGAAGCCACAAAAGACCCCAAATAGCTGAGGCAATCTTGAGAAAGAAGAATAAACCTTACCACATTCCCAGATTTCAAGATATAATACAAAGCTCTAGTAATCAAAACAGTATGGTACTGGCACAAATACAGACACATAGATGAATGTAACAGAATAGAGAGTCCAGAAATAAACCCACAGTTGTGTGGTCACTTAATCTACAACAAAGGAGGCAAGAACATACAAGGAAGGAAAGAGAGTCTCTTTGATAAATAGTGTTTGGAAAACTGGACAGCTACTTGCTGGACTGCTTACGCCATACAAAAACAACTCAAAATGGATTAATGATCTAAATGGGAGACTTGAGACCATAGAACTCTTAAAAGAAAAAAAGGCAATAATATCTTTGAGATTGGCCTTGGCAACATTTTTCTAGATCTGTCTCCTCAGGCAAGGGAAACAAAAACAAAAACTATTGGGAATACACCAAAATAAAAAGCTTTTGCACGACATGGAAAACCATCAACAAAACAGAAAGGCAAACCACTGAATGGGAGAAAACATTTGCAAATGACATATCCAATAAGGGTTAATATCCAAAATATACAAAGAACTCATGCAACTCAACACCAAAAGACCTCAAATAATCTGATTTTAAAAAGGGCAGAGGATGTTAAGAGACATGTTCCCACAGAAGACCTACAGATGGCCAATAGACCCACAAAGAGTTGCTCAACATCACTTATCATCGGGGAGATGCAAATCAAAACCACAAAAAGGTATCACCTTATACCTAACAGAATGGCTAGAATCAAAAAGGCAAGAAATAGCAAGTGTTGGTGAGAATATGGAGAAAAAGGAACCCTTGTGCACTGTTGGTGGGAATGTAAACTGATGCAGCCACTGTGGAAACCAGTATGGAGGTTCCACAAAAAATTAAAAATAAAAACCCTATATCTCCAGTAATTCCACTACTGGGTGTTTACCCTAAGTAAAAGAAAACACTGATGTGTAAAGATATATGCGTCCCTATGTTTATTACAGCATTATTTACAATAGCTAAGATGTATAAGCAACCTAGGTGTCCACTGATAGATTAATGGACAAATAACATGTAGTATGTGTGTGTGTATGTATATAAATGTGTGTATATATACGTATATATATATATGAATATATATACATATAGCAACATATGGTCCTAAATATACAACATAGATGGTCCTAGAGAGCATATGTTAGGTGAAATAAGTCAGAGAGAGACGAATACCATATGATTTCAGTTATATATGGAATCAACAAAAAGGGAATAAACAGAAATAGACCGATAAATGGGTAAAGGGGTGGCAGGCACAGGCTTCTAGTTATGGAATGCATATGTCACAGGGATAAAAGGTACAGCACAGGAAATGTAGTCAGTGGTATTGTGATAGCATCATATGGTGACCGAGTCGCCATACTTGTGGTGAGCACGGCATAATGCGCAGACTTGTTGAAACACTACATTGTGCACCTGAAACCCATGTAACATCGTGTGCCAGCTGGGCTTCAACAAAAAAAGTTAATCACATATTTAACCCACCATACCCCAAATGTTATTTCAACAGGTAATCAAGACTATACTAACAGGTAAGTAAGACTGAGCTACTCAGGCTCCCCTATACCAACCATTATTAATTAGATATTTTACATTCTCTTTTCAAACCAAGTCTTCAAAATCCAGCATGTAGTTTATATGTAGAGCACATCTCAATTTAGTTTCAGCAGCTGCATACAGCTGGCGGTGAGTGTATATGGCAGCCCAGCCTTAAACCGAAATCATCCACTTACAGGTTTGCCTTCCCTACTAGAAGGTAAGCTACCCAAGGGCAAGGTCAACATCTTACTTGTAGTATCATCAGTGTCCTATCAGTCCCCAGCATGTACTGAGCACTCAGTAAATGTTTACTAAACTAGAGTGACCTGAAGGTATCTTGAGAACAAGTAGAATTTCAGCAGCTGCTCAAATCAAAATATATACTTGTAACAATTACAACAATAAGAATAATAGCTAATATTTTATCTTGGACCATGTTCTGTGCTATCTATTTACCTACCTGCCTACCAAGAAGGCTTCACACCTAGTGTGGAGCACAAGGTGGGGTTGAACTCAAAACCCTGAGATCAAGACCTAAGCTATGATCAAGAGTTGATGCTCAACTGACTGAGCCACCCAGGTGCCCCTGTGCTCTTCAGATACTTTATCTCCTCGAGCCCTCCCAACAACCCCAAATAACTATTTGCATTATTACTTCTACTTTATGGGTAAAGAAACTTGCCCCAAATCATATAGCTGCTAAGTGGAAGAATGAGGACTTCTGGAAATCATTCTGGAAAACAAGGGAAATGGCCAGTAAACACACACACACACACACACACACACACACACACACACACACACACA